ATTTAGAACAAGTACGGAAGCATGGGAAACAAACCATGTCAAAAGTAGGCTAAAAATGCCATTCTTCTACAAATTCTGCTCTGTCCGCCGTGGCAAATGGCACAAAGGGACAAGTCCCTTAAAAGCCTCTTGCGCCGCGGCGCAACAACCACGCGCCGTGGTGCGCACCCACTGTCATGACAGTAAATTGCTATCATGACATCCCTTCAAACTTCTAAAGCGCGCCGTTTCACCATCCAACGTTCGATTTAAGCGATTTAAGTGTCCACACGAAGCTCTTTGAGCCCTCTAGCTAATTGCCTAGTTTTACACTCAAATAATTATCCATTTAAAAAGATGGATATTCGAATCCAAAATGGTTTGTTTTTACTTTAAAACACAAATCAAGGGTGTCTAACTCACAATACCAAATGCCATTAGGCTCAGAGACACTTTGACTACTTTAAATGGACCACACACAACAAGACAATTCATTCATATCACATAATTAAACAATCATGCTCAAAATGACTACCAAACTTCCATTTGACAATAACACAATGGGGTAGATAAAATTCAATACACAAATCAATTGGTCATTTTGGCACACAAAACACTTGAAATATATATCACATATAATTGTAATTTGGCCAAGCACACACACACTTAATCCATAACATCAATCTTGGACCAAGATACACACACTTATCATAAATTCATACAAGTGATATCCAAAATAATGTCATGTTCCTAAGTTGGCAATATATAATGGCAATATCCATTACAAACCCAAAAGAGAAAGGGAAGAGCTATACTATAATGCTTTTCACTCTTCAATTGCCCCTTCCTTCCCTTTACCCCTACCGGAGCCCTCACCTGTATATAACCATGGGGTGAGATAAATATCTCAGTAATAGAATAATTCACTACTATTAATTAATATGCACAACCGTACGAGAGTAAAACTATGAAACATCAAAATATACATTAGGCATATCACCACATACTCTCTTCATCAGTACAAATCTTTTACCACTAGTATGATCATTCTACCATCTTAGCCTCCATACCAAGTGCACATTCACAATGATCCGAGCTCACCTTCAGTGGTAGAATCACCCGGCCAAAGGTGTCCCATCCCACTTCCGAACTACGATTTCCCCTTATCGCACACGAATCGGGGTGTCATTACTCTAACACTGCATCATTGATGCTAAGGAGCATTACTCTCCAATGCCGTATCTTGCATGGATACTAAGGAGAAAATCTCCAACATCGTGCCTCACTAAACACTAAGGAGATACATGCCATATGGACTTCTACTACTCCTTCCTACGGGTGAACTCCCACCCCTAACATGATCATGCCCACACTCAACATATATATATCACATAAACATTTTAAATTTCTCAACTTATTTATATATGACTTTCATCATACTCATTATTTGCAAAAATAGATTTTCATGCACAAAACCACATTTCACAATATGTAAGGTTATCAAATCTCAAGTTTAAATCCACATATCTACTCACAAACAGTTAAACAATATAATCAATCAGTGTAAATTATTCTATTACCTCAACCCTTTGTCACACACAAAAGGGTTACCGTGGTTCAACGTTAGCTCCACATGTTCTATACGCACAATATAGCTCGAGCAATGCTCAATCTACACGATCAAGTGACAATCATCAAATATCACTTTGGATAACTTTGAATTCTCTAGGTTCTAAGTGTCTAAAATGCTCAAATTCCTTTTTTAACAATATCAACCATTCCCAAACACTCTAACAATCCTATTAAATATCCCAATATACCAAATTCACTAACCAATGTCCCACATTGTCTCAAAATCCTTAACTTGTACTTAGGGTTCGTCCAAACCCTTACCAAAAATTCTTAATCACCACGAAACTCATAAATTTAAGGTTAGAAGCTTTGTTTAACTCCTTAAGACCTTAAATAAATCAATGGGTTCAGTCTACACCCAAGGGAACCAAAATCAAAGGCCCTATTGCCCCACCAATCCAGATTTTTGCATGAAAGAGGGAGAAGGAGAAGAAAGGAAGGCTTACCAATGTATATGAAGCTTGAAAGGCCTCCAAAATCACGTAGGAAGCAAGCCTTAGCAGCCACAAGTCTCTCTTCATCGCTGCTCTTGAGTTCCTTCTTTCTCTCTTCTATTTTTCTAGTCTAATTCGTGATCTGATAAGTGCAGATTTTGCATGTGCGCCATAGCATGTTGACATGTCTGCCACGATGCATGGCACAGAAAATCCTATAAAATTTTTAAACTTCCTTCCGTGCCATGGCCTGTTTGAATATCGACTTAGCCCTTTTCTAAGGCTTTCTAAGGATCCAAAAACCATATTAGTCTCCCATAACCCTCGCTAAATCCACAATTTATCTAAATTGACCAAATTACCCTTGAAAATACTGATAATTACTAATGGGGAAACTTAGGATGTTACAATTCTCCCCTCCTTTTAGGAATTTTGCCCTCAAATTTTAGAATCTTGCTCAAACACATACTTGTGAAAATATTTGGGGATATAGTTACCTCATTTTATCTTTGGTCTCCCAAGTCGCATCACCGGGAGTCATACCCTTCCAAAAGACCTTACCCAATCGAATGGTCTTATTCCTCAATTATCGGTCTTTCACATCTACAATCCACTCTAGTTCAGCTTGATAGGTCAAGTTTTCCTAAACTTCTGCCTCTTCTAACTCAATAACATGAGAAGGATCGGGTTGATATTTCTTGAGCTGACTCACATGGAACATATCATGAACACCTGATAAACTCGACAGTAAGGTAATCTGATAGGCAACAGGTCCCAACTTCTCCAAAATCTCAAAGGGAGCAATAAACCTGGGAGTCAATTTCTTAGCTTTTATTGATCTCCCAATGCCAGTCATTGGCGTGACCCTTAAAAACACATGATCACCAACTAAAAATTCCAACGGTCTTTTACGCCAATCCGCGTAGCTGTTTTATTGACTTTAGGATGTCAACAACTTTTGCTTAATCAATTGAATCTTCTAGGTGGTTTGGTCTATCAAATTCGGACCCAACAAACTTCTCTCGCTCAATTCCATCCAACACAAAGGTGATCGACATCTTCTTCCATATAATGCTTCATACAGAGCCATTCCAATGCTAGAATGAAAACTGTTGTTGTAAGCAAATTTCACTAACAGTAGATGTGTATCCCAACTGCCTCTCAACTCTAAGGCACAAGCTCGCAACATATCCTCGAGCATTTAGATAGTCCTCTCAGTTTGGCTGTCTGTTGTGGATGATAGGCCATGTTAAATCTCAACTTAGTGCCCATTGCTCTCTACAACACTCTCTAGAAATTCAATGTAAACCTCAAACCACGGTCAGAGACAATGTCTTTCAGCACCCCATACAGTCTCACTATCTCATTTACATAAACCTCGGCATACTTCTCAAGTGAATAGGTAGTCTTCATTACCAAGAAATACGTTGACTTCATTAGCCAATCCACAATCACCCATATTGCGTCATAGCCCCCTTGAGTTCTAGGCAATCTAGTAATGAAATCCATTGATATGCTATCCCACTTCCACTTTGGGATATTTAGCGGTTACAAGACACCACCAGGCCTTTGGTGCTCAATCTTAACCTTTTAGTACGTTAGACACTTAGCCACAAACTCTGTTACATCTTTCTTGATTCCTGGCCACCATCACATTTGCTTCATATCCTGATACATCTTGGTGACACCAAGGTGAATAGTATCCTTGCTACAGTGTGCTTTCTTTAGGATCATCTTCCTGATCTCCTCATTACTCGGTACGCAAATTCGATCCTGATAAGTCACATATCCATCATCATTAAATATAAATTTTGTGGGTCTCTTCTCTTCAATATCCTCATGAATCCCAAGTAGATACTCGTTTTCAAACTGAGCAGTTTGCAACTCTTTCCAGAATTCATTAGTTGTGACCATAGAATGTACATTGTATAACATCATCTGAGGTGCTTTCCTTTGAGTATCTAAGAAAGTCTCAAGTAATCGATGCTCTTGAACCATCATATGAGCAACATGTACTATTTTCCTGCTTAGCGCGTCTGCCACTACATCGGCTTTACCTAGATGATACTTGATCTCAAAGTTATAGTCCTTGAGGAATTCCATCCATCTATGTTGCCTCATATTCAGTTCCTTTTGATCCACTAAGTACTTCAGACTTTTGTGATCATTAAATACTTCAAACATATACCCATAAAGATAGTATCGCCAAATTTTCAAAGTAAAAACCACTACTGCTAACTCTAGATCATGGGTTGGGTAATTCTCCTCCTGCGATTGCAATTGTCTTGAGGCATATGCAACAACTCGATCATCTTACATTAAAATGCACACTAAACCTTTCAACGATACATCTGTGTAAACTACATACGGCAATCAAGGATTAGGAATAATGAGTACTGGAGTAGATGTTAGTTTCCTCTTTAACTCTTGAAATGCCGATTCACATTTGTCAGTCCACACATATGGCTGATCCTTTCGGGTCAACTTAGTTAAAGGAAACGCAATTTGTGAAAATTCTTGAATGAATTGCCGATAGTAGCTTGCCAATCTAAAGAAACTTCTAATCTCTATCACTGAGGTAGGCGGTTTCCATTTCAACACAACATCCACTTTGTGTGGATCCACAACAATCCCTTCCGTCGACACCATATGACCAAGAAATCTCACTTCCCTTAGCCAAAACTCATATTTACTGAGTTTGGCATATAACTTATTGTCCTTTAAAAGTTGCAGGATAGTATGAAGATGCTTCATGTGCTCTTCCTTGTCTCTTGAGTAAATTACAATATCATCAATGAATACTACCATGAACTTATCTAGATAAGGATGTAAGATTCTGTTCATGTAGTCCATAAACACTGCCGAAGCATTCGTTAATCCAAATGGCATTACTAGGAACTCATAGTGACCGTATCTAGTGTAAAAGGCAGTCTTTGGGACATCCTCGACTCTGATTTACAACTGATGGTAGCCTAATCGCAGGTTAATCTTTGAGAACACCGTAGCTCCAACCAACTGATCTAGCAAATCATCGATCCTAGGTAAAGGATACTTGTTCTTGACTGTCACTTTGTTCAGCTGTCTGTAGTCAATGCAAAGTCTCATACTACCATCCTTTTTCTTCACAAATAACACCGGCGATCCCCACAAAGACACACTCAGTCTTATGAACCCTTTCTCTAGTAATTCCTCCAATTGATTCTTTAGCTCTGCCAACTCAGATGGAGACATCCAATATGGAGCTTTCAATATGGGTTCTGTTCCAGGTACAAGGTCAATAGAAAATTTCACCTCTCGCTCAAGCGGTAATCCAGACACTTCTTCTGAGAATATTTCAAGAAATTTGTTCACCACTCTAATTTTCTCAATTGCTTTATCATAAGTAGCATAAACAGAAAAGAACATCATATATGCCTGACAGCCTTGTTGAATGCACTTTTTTTCTTGCATTACAAACAAGAATCTTGACTGACTAGGTTTCATTGTAGGTGCAGTGTATATTGGCAAGGATATTATCTTTCTTACACAGTCTGGTGTCGCATTATTTGCCAACAACCAGTCTATACCTACCACTACGTTAATCCCAATCATGGGCAAATAGATCAAATCAATGGTAGTTGATCTATTCTTAAATCTCAAATCAACACCTAAACAAGCACGGTCGGTTCTCACAAAAATTCTCACTGGCGTAGACACATTAATCACATATGGCAAGGTATACACTGACAATTTCAACCTTAACACATAGTTATCAGAAATGCAAGAATGGGTAGCACCCAAATCAGACAAAGCATCTATATCATCGTTGTGCAAAGAGATTTTACCTCTAATCAAATTTAGAGACGCACCTGCCTCCTCTTGGGAAAACGCGAATACTCTACCAAGAACAATCGGTCTCTACTCTGTGGTACCCACTCTGCCCTTATTACAATACCTGGCAATGTGCCCTGTCTTGCCATACTTAAAGTAAACCCAACACTTTCCCACATGATATCCCCCACACTTTGAACACTGTGGGGTTCTGGCTATACTAAGAGTAGGCACATGCATTGTGGAAGCTTGCTGAGATGGCTGTACACCATTAGCACTATTCTTTGGTCCATTGCTCTTCTGGAAGGAACCTCGAGATTGTGATCCCCTTTGAAAAGTCTTCCTCTTCGTAAAGCTCCCAGAACTACCAGAGTTAAAACTGAATCTCTTATTAACTCTACCGGTAAGGCCAAGTGATTGTGAGAATCTACCCTGACTATCCCTTCTCTTCTCAGTCTCTGCCTCTCTACCCTTTCTCACAGCTATTCTTAGCTTATTACACATCTCATCATAAGATGTGATCTCAAATAAGGCCAACTGTTGTCGATACTCAGGCCTCATCTTCTTAAGCAGCCTCTTAGCCTTTCATTTTGAGTCATCATTCCTTATGAGATAGGTAGTGTACCTTGACAATTGATTGAACTTGGCAGTAAAAGCTTCTTCATCAAGATTCCCCTGCTTAAATTCGTAGAATTCAGCCTCTTTCTCTACTTTAAAGGCCACTAGGAAGTAAAAGTTGAAAAACCTCACTTTGAACTCATCCTATGTCCACTTGACTCCACAAGTCATTCTCACCAACTTCTACCAATGTTTAGCCTCTTTTATAAGCAACACTGAGGCTAAAGTCACCTTTTGCTCCTCTAAGCATAGCACCACTTTAAATATTGTCTCAATTCTCTCAATCCACTCTTTGGCTTCACCCTCCTTCATTGTTCCATCAAAGGTAGATGGATGAAGCTATGAGAAACTCTTCCATGCTCGATCCATAGAATTCTGTGAACCACTACCACCCACAGCTCCAGATTGCTTGGGTGTGCTCTCTTCATAAACTTCATCTTCTTGCTCATACATCTCTTATTCATTCTCAATTATTCTACCATCTACTTTTGCCCTATCATTCCTTGGTGCACCTTATCCCCGTACCGAATTACATATTTCTTGCATTAAATTCCTCATCTCTAATAGTAAGGCCTCATTACCCTGCAGCTCATTCTCCAGTTGTTCCAAGTTTTGACCAACCGAAATGTGATTCTCTAGTGGTAGCTCATTAGTCTCTGGTACCACAACCATGCACCGTAGTGCGCACCCATTGTCATGACAGTAGATTGCTATCATGACATCCCTCCAAACTTCCAAAGCACGCCGTTTCACCATCCAACGTTCGATTTGGGCGATTCAAGTGTCCACACGAAACTCTTTAAGCCCTCTAGATAATTGCCTAGTTTTACACTCAAATAATCATCCGTTTAAAAAGATGGACACCTGAACCCAAAATGGTTTGTTTTCACTTTAAAACACAAATCAAGGGTGTCTAACTCATAATACCAAGTGCCATTAGGCCCAGAGACACTTTGACCTCTTCAAATGGACCATACAACAAGACAATTCATTCATATCACATAATTAAACAATCACACTCAAAATGACCACCAAACCCCCATTTGACAGTAACACAACGGGGCGGATAAAATTCAACACACAAATCAATTGGTCATTTTAGCACACAAAACACTTGAAATATATATAACATATAAGTATAACTTGGCCAAGCACACACACACTTAATCCATAACGTCAATCTTGGACCACGATATGCACACTTATCACAAATTCATACAAGTGATATCCAAAATAATGTCATGTTCCTAAGTTGGGAATATATAATGGCAATATCTATTACAAACCTAAAAGAGAAAGGGAAGAGCTATACTATAATGCTTTTCACTCTTCAATTTCCCCTTCCTTCCCTTTATCCCTACCGGAGCCCTCGTAAAATATAACCATGGGGTGAGATAAACATCTCAATAACAAAATAATTCACTACTATTAATTAACATGCACAACCGTAAGAGAGTAAAACTATGAAATATCAAAATATACATTTAGCATATCACCACATACTCTCTTCATCAGTACAAATCTTTTACCACTAGCATGATCATTCTACTATCCTAGCCTCCATATCACCCAGACCGAAGCCATAGGCTCCTGGACTAAGTACACATTCACAATGATCTGAGCTCACCTTCAGTGGTAGAATCACTCGGCCAAAGGTGTCCTATCCCACCTCCAGACTACGGGTTCCCCCTATCGCACACGAATCGGGGTGTCGTTACTCTAACACAGCATCATTGATGCTAAGGAGCATTACTCTCCAATGCCGTATCTTGCATGGATACTAAGGAGAAAATCTCCAACATCGTGCCTCACTAAACACTAAGGAGATACATGCCATATGGACTTCTACTACTCCTTCCTACGGGTGAACTCCCACCCCTAACATGATCATGCCCACACTCAACATATATATATCACATAAACATTTTAAATTTCTCAACTTATTTATATATGACTTTAATCATACTCATCATTTGCAAAAATAGATTTTCATGCACAAAACCACATTTTACAATATGTAAGTTATCAAATCTCAAGTTTAAATCCACATATCTACTCACAAACAGTTAAGCAATATAATCAATCAGTGTAAATTATTCTATTACCTCAACCCTTTGTCACACACAAAAGGGTTACTGTGGTTCAACGTTAGCTCCACATATTCTATACGCACAATATAGCTCGAGCAATGCTCAATCTACACAATCAAGTAACAATCATCAATTATCACTTTGGATAACTCCGAATTCTCTAAGTTCTAAGTGTCTAAAATACCCAAATTCCTTTTCTAACAACGTTAACCATTCCTAAACACTTTAACCACCCTATTAAATATCCCAACACACCAAATTTGCTAACCAATGTCCCACATTGTCTCAAAATCCTTAAATTATACTTAGGATTCATCCAAACCCTTACCAAAAATTCCCAATCACCATAAAACTTATTAACTTAGGGTTAAAAGCTTGATTTAACTCCCTAAGACCTTAAATAAATTAATGGGTTCTGTCTAAGCCCAAGTAAACTAAAATTAAAGCCCCCATTGCCCCACCAATCTAGATTTTCACATAAAAGAAGGAGAAGGAGAAGGAGAAGAAAGGAAGGCTTACCCAATGTATATGAATCTTGAATGGCCTCCAAAATCATGTAGGAAGTAAGCCCTAGCAGCCACAAGTCTCTCTTCGTCACTGCTCTCGAGTTTTTTCTTTCACTCTTTTATTTTTCGAGTCTGATTGACGATCTGATAAATGTAAATTTTACACGTGCAGCCACGATGCATTGACATGCCCGCTGCTGCGCATGGCACAAAAAATCCTACAAAATTTTTAATCTTTCTTCTGTGCCATAGCCTGCTTGAACATCGACTTAGCCCTCTTCTAAGGCTGTCCAAGGATCCAAAAATCATATTAGTCTCCCAAAACCCTCACTAAATCCACAATTTATCTAAATTGACTAAATTACCCTTGAAAATATTGATAATTACTAATGGGAAAACTAAGGATGTTACATATCACATCCCTTTTGTCACTTGATATTTCGGTCAACTGTGAGACATGGAATTGTCATTCTCCTTTACCTGACCTTTACTTTTTCGATCTCTAAGTGGACTGACTATAAGAATAAAAAAACCCTTTCCATCGTAGTATGGCTATATATTTTCTCAGTCTTACTCATTGAGGGGCTCAGTAATATCTCTCACTTAATGTGAGGGATAAATTCTATCTTGACCACTCATGTTCCTCTGCATGAATATCACTAAACTCAATCATAGCCTTTATGATCACTTGGTCAAAGGTGACTTTTGACTAGGTCAAAGTTCAGTGGTTACCATGTAGGAATCCATGATGATCTCAGGTTAAAGGGTTTAGTGATATAGTTACATATGAGATAAGCTTATGACTTGTACCATGCAGCTTTTTCATAGTAGTTCGGTCCAGCACCTTGTACTCTTTCAAGTATCTATGACTTTGATTTGTATCTCTATAATTAATTAAAGTCATGCTAGTCCTGTTTTATCTATGATCTCTCATAGATGACCGAACAGGGACATTTAGGACAATCACTATAGTTTGTCTAAGGATATAGTTATCATAGTGAACATGTAATTGATATGATAAAAAAAGAGAAATTCATGAAATAACAATGAGCATTGTACAATAATTGACCATAGTGCACAATTTCTATCACTTGGTACCAAGTCCCAAACTTGACTTCTCTCAAACTGGTTTAACTCTTCTTGTATTGCTATGAGCCAATATTCATTAGTTAAGGCTACTTTAATATCAGAGGGTTTAATATTAGAAAGAAATGCACTAAAATGGCATACTTCTCTAGGTAAACCTCTTATTTTAACTCTATCATGAACTTCTCCAATGACTTGATCAATGGGATGTGACTTACTATATCTCTAACCTTTTAGAAGATTATTTGTCTCTCTACTTTGATTGTTAGTTATGGTATTATTGTTGGTTTGATTTTTCTCCTTTTCTTTCAGTGAGAGATCATTAAGATGAAGATTCAGAGTTTCTTCTTCTTTGTTCTTATCTGATAAGGATTCATCAAATCTAACATGAATTGACTCTTTAACAGATAAGGTTCTTTTATTAAAGACTCTAAAAACTTTACTTCTATTAGAATAACCAAGAAGTACAGCCTCATCACTTTTAGAATCAAACTTATCTACATTATCCTTATCATTATTGAGTACAAAATACTTACAGCCAAATACATGCAGATGAGAGATGTTAGGCTTTCTTTCTTTGTAGAGCTCATAAGGAGTTTTGTTCAGAATAGGTTGGATATGTGCTTTGTTGGTTATGTAGCATGCTGTACTCATGGCATTTGCCTAGAAATATTTAGGAAGTTTCTTCTCATTCAGCATGGTCCTTGCCATTTCTTCCACAGTTTTATTCTTTCTCTCTACAACTTTATTTTGTTGTGGTATTTTAAGAGCTGAGAATTCATGACTAATTCCACGTTCTTCACAAAACTCAATGAAATTGAAATTGTCAAATTCCCCACCATAGTCACTTCTTATCTTTATAATTTTCAAACCTTTTTCATTTTGTGCTTTGGCTATAAATGCCACAAAATATTCAAAGGTTTGATCCTTGTGAGACATGAAAATAGTCCATATGAACCTAAAATAATCATCAACTATATAAAAGTGTATAGATTACCCTTTATGCTTTTTACGCTTAAAAGACTGGTTAGACTCATATGGAGCAATTCGAGAGGCCTTGATGTGGATACTACATTTTTTGCTTTGAAATGTAGTCTTAGTTTCTTTGCCTTTTATACAAGCATCACATAGCTTGTCAGTTTTGAATTATATCTTTGGCAGTCTAATGACAAGTTCCTTCTTTATAGGCTTGTCTAATTGCTTCATGTTGACATGGGCTAATCTTTTATGCCACAGCCAACTCTCATCATTCACAAAAATG